CTACAACTTTTCACGCAGGTGGCAACTTTCAAGAAAGCAACATCCATTTGTCTGTATAAATATGGCAGCAGGGGTCGTCGGAGCTGACTCAGCCGGGCAGGCGAAGATCTTGCCAACTTCTTAACTTCTTAATCTCAGTCATGAGTTTGAGCCCCACCCGGGTGTGGGGAGCTGCCTGTGGAGGGGCTTCGGGCATGCAGAGTCAGGTTAAGCTGCCTGACTTCAGCCAGCCTGCACGACCCCGCTGTCCATGAGTTTGAGCCCCGCCACAGGCTCTGGCTGATGGCTCAGAGCCTGAGCCTGTTTCCATTCTGCGTCTCCCACTCTCTGCCCTCCCCATTCATGCTCTGTCTCTCTCTGTCCCAAAAATAAATAAACGTTGAAAAAAAAATTAAAAAAAAAAATGTGGCGATGGCAATGTCTAGCACAGAAGGAGCGGGAGATTCATAAATTCATCTGTTGAATGAACGCAACACATTGCACAGCATTATCATATATCCTTACGCCCGGCGTGTACAGCCCATAATTTCAAGTCTGAACGCACGTTGATGAAGGGACTTGTTGAATTACACAGGAGGGAAAAAAGTGGACTCAAATCCCTGCCAAGTCTACCATTTTAGAAATGGTAAGGTAGGTGGATTTTTAAACATTTCTCTATGTTGTGAGCTCGCTCCTTTTCTCCAGGGTAGATCTGGAGTCTGAGGGCAGATGATCTGATTTTTAAGTACAGTGACTTAAAAACACTGGCTGAAAGAAAACGTGGTTCCCGCCGTCACGCTCATATGTCACAGTTCCAGTTCCTGCCTATCTTTGGCTCTGCTCTGGGAGGCTGGTACCTATATCTCACCAACGTCCACGTGACTCCGTGTCTGGGGCAAACGAGGCCAACTGATCATCTTTTGCACACTAGTGCAGCAGCGGCTGTGATAATTCACGAATGACGTTTGTAAAACGGACCGGCCAAGAACGTGGTCCTTTGAGCACCTTCAAAGAACCCCGCCGGTGCAGAGGCGACGGCGGCATGGGGTGACCTTCCTCAACAAATAACAGCACAGCGCTTACAGACAGAGTCTGGAGCCAGGGTTGCTGCGTGCAAAGGCCGATGAATGGCCACATAAATGGACAGCGGGCCTGCAGCGAACACGCAGCATTACACTGAACAACCCCTTTACGACTACGTATGACTACTATCATAACTTCCTCTTCCTCCTTCCTGATCTTGTTCGTTGTGTGACGCTAGCCATTTGTATCAAAATTAGGGATGCAAATAATCCAAGGAATCAATGGTTCTGAAAGTGATCTAATATAGAAACAACCCCTATCACTTTCTCCCCATCTCTCTCTCTCCATCCATCCATCCATCCATCCATCCATCCATCCATCCATCCATCCATCTTGTCCAGGTGACAATTTTGGTAGACATAGCTCCTTTTCTCTAAATAATAGATAACTTTTGCATTTCAGGCTCCATCTATTGGCCTCCCACTGTGGAAAATGAGGATGTAACACTCTTCCCCCCCATCCCCCCGGCCCCCAGAAGACACGGTCATCTTCCCCTCTAGCCATTCCCCAGTGGAGTGTTGTATTTCTGGTTAGACTGACCTTCAGGGCTGCACGGATTATGATTGTATGGAGCGAATTCACGTAATAAGCTGTGCTACAAACAGACAACATCCTGTGCAATGCCTCCATTCCCTAGACTTAATAACTGTCTTTTATGTATTGTTGAGCTTTTTCCTAAACTTCTCATTTATTCAACTTCAGATGTTTCACCAACTAAATAACTTCCTCTCAAGGCATCCAGAGGCATCAGGAATCCCACCAGCCCATGATTCCTGGAGAAGTCTGCCCCAGGGTATTTCGATCCACTCCAGTCAGCACTGGTCAGGGTCTACACCGTGGGCACAACCGACAACCTGGGACCTCCATTTATCACCATCCTGGAGACTCCCTATGCCTCTCTCCTCTGCTGGAGCCACACATTTTCCATTCCTTCCCCCTTCCTGATTTATTCCTTTATTTTAGTGGAGTCCACCTTTTTCTGATAGTTCCTCGAGAAAAAGGAAACGTAAGGTACATTTTTTGGAGACCTGAACTTCTGGAAATGTACACCCTCACACTTGATTGAGAGCATGTGTCCGCTGCCTTCTAGCACCTGATAAACCCCAAACACGTCTGATTCCTCAGCCTTCATAGACTGCTGTTCATCTGTGGAAGCTTATGGGACCTGGGGTTTGTCCTGATGGGCATCTTTCAATCTGGAAACTCAGCTCTTTCAGGTACAGGAGATATTCAATAATTATTTCATTGATCATTTCTCCCACTGTTTTCTCTCTTGTCTCTCTCTCTCATCTGAGGTTAGGATTACCAGACGGTTGTCTCATTTTCTTCTATTTCCTCTTGTATTTTCATTTTTTTAAATTTTTTAATGTTTATTTATTTTTGAGAGACAGAGAGACACACACAGAGAGAGAGAGAGAGAGAGAGAGAGAGAGAGAGAGAGAGAGAGAGAGAGAGAGAGAGAGAAGGGGAGGGGCAGAGAGAGGGAGACAAAGAATCGTAAGCAGGCTCCAGGCTCTAAGCTGTCAGCACAGAGCCCGACGTGGGACCTGAACTCACAAACTGTGAGATTATAACCTGAGCCGAAGTCAGACACTTAACCAACTGAGCCACCCAGGCACCCCTCTCGTATTTTCTATTTATCTTTCTATATTATGAGGGATGTCAACTTTCTATAGTATGAGGGATGTCAACTTTGTATTCTAACGCATCTTTTGAGTTTTTCATTTCTACTGTCATATTTTTAATTTAGAAGAGCTCCAATGTTTTCCAAATTTTATTTTTTTAAAAAATTTTTTTTCAACTTTTTTATTTATTTTTGGGACAGAGAGAAACAGAGCATGAACGGGGGAGGGGCAGAGAGAGAGGGAGACACAGAATCGGAAGCAGGCTCCAGGCTCTGAGCCATCAGCCCAGAGCCCGACGCGGGGCTTGAACCCACGGACCGCGAGATCGTGACCTGGCTGAAGTCGGACGCTTAACCGACTGCGCCACCCAGGCGCCCCTCCAAATTTTAAATAAACATGGTGATTCTTATTATGTATTTCTTATTATATACACATTTCTTATTATATAATTGCAAAAATCTTTTTATCCCTCTGGAAATACTGACCACGGTTATTTTGCTATTTTCTCCTCCTCGCATGGTGTCTATTTATTCCAAGATTTGTTTTTCCTCTTTCCATTTCATTGTTTGGACCTCACTGTTTGTGCCAGGAGATTTCCATATGTCTTATAACCCTTGGTCATCGGTTACCTAGTTGGCAGCTTACGACAAATGAGTGGGGCTTGTTGGCTGTGAACTACGTGCTAAGTGGTGGTGGGGAAGCTGTGAAGTCAAGTCTCTTTGCTCTTGGATCACCCCTTACTGAAATCACAGTTTCCTGCCTGGAGGAAGGTCTGAACATGCCACTCTTGGAGCCCAGCTGACATGGGGAGAGGTTGTGTATTTTAGCATCTGGTTGGTATACTCTTTCCTTCTAAGCTTATTTATTTATTTGGAGAGACAGAGAGAGCACGAGTGGGGGCGGGCAGAGAGAGAGGGAAACATAGAATCCCAAGCAGGCTCCGCGTTGTCAAGCACACAGCCTGACACAGGGCTTGAACTCACCAAGGGCGAGATCATGACCTGAGCTAAAATCAAGAGCCACACGCTCAACCGACTGAGCCACCCAGGTCTCCCAATACACTCTTTTCAATACAATGTCCTAACTCAAGTAAGCTTGGTGTACTTCAGTGCAAACCCTCGCTAATTTTTGCATCTTTAGGGAGCAAACATTATTTGTCTGCTTGGGCAAAATTACTCAGACGATTCCTCAGCCATCGAGTTATTCACAATGGACAAGCAGCTCTGGGTTCTCAATACTTCCTAAAAGGCTTTCAAACAGTTCACCTTACTTTAGCCTCCTTTTTACTTCCCTTCTTCCTTCCATATATACTGATGACGGTCAGTCCCTGCCCCTAGGGAGCACTCTTCAGCATCCATCAGCGCTCGGCTGTCCCCAGTGACAACCTGGAATTTACGTTCTTGGACACTAATCATCCACCACTCTCCGTTTTCCTTCAGAACCTCCCCCTGCCATGTTTTTCTCTAGTCTCCTCTTTAGTCTTCCCCATCTTTGTGAGTTTATCATTTACCGAACCTTCTTGCTGTCGTTTTACTGGAGTTCCAGGAGGAACACACTGTAGATGTGTTTGTGTGTGTATGTGTGTGTGCATGCTTAGTCTACCATTTTTACCTAGAAGGTCAAGTCTTTCTTTGCCATGTCTTCCAAAATCACACGTCATAAGGAGAGCAGTGAGGCACAGCGCAAGACCCAAGGTGAACAAGTCTGGAGCCACTCACGCCAGCCCCCTCCTCTGGAAAGAGCGAGAAGACTTTGCTTGGGACACCATCACTTTGGGAAGCCTCTGGCTGGCCTCCTGCCTCTGCAGACAAACTTGCTTTGCCGGCCTGCTTGGAGTGGCAGAGCTGTGCATGGGCAGCGGGAAGCAAGGGTCCTGAGCAAGGAGCAGAAACCCAGAGCTTATACCCAGAGCCCAGGGCCAGCCCCGAGGCGTTCCCAGGAGAAAGAAATCCTCCCCGCGGCACAGCACCGATTTCACGTATGGAAAGGAAGACAGTACATTCCCTCAGACTCCCAACTAATGCCACGTGACCTTTCTAACGTGAGACTGGGGGGCCAGAACATTCCAGCCTCCTGAAGTCACGTTGCAATGGAGAAGCAAAGGCCAACTACCAGCCATGTCTCTCCCCAGCGGGGTGGTTGCCTCAGATGCAGGTGACAAGGGAGTGGGCTGCCTTCCAGGGCGGGAAGAGGCTGTTCTGATGTTCCTGAGCTCCACCTGCTGCCCCTTCGGACAGACATCGGTGAGGAAATGCCCCGCCCGGCCTCCCAGCGGGCCATGGCCCCCAGGCACCCCTCCGGCAGCCCAGGCACCTGTGGATGATGTGGAACCTCTGCAGATACTCCAGGGCCAGCGCCAGCTCGCAGATGTACAGCTTCACCGCCCCCTCCGTGAAGTGGACGTTCTGCTGCAGGTGGTAACGCAGATCTCCGCCCAGGAGCAAGTCCACCACCATGAACATGTCCTCCTCGTCCTGGAAGGAGTACCTAGGAGTGCAGAGGGACAGAGCAGGTTAGGGGACAGAGGTGCTCCAACGTCCTCTGGACCAATGCCCCCGTTTTACAGAAGCGTAACTTGAGGCTCAGAGAGGCACTGGTGTCACCGAAGTCACAGGGCTCTCGCAGACAAATGGCATTTTAACCAATGCCAGACATCAACACATGACTTTAAGTTTTAAGATGTTTTAGGGGCCCCTGGGGGGCTCAGTCGGTTGGGCGTCCGACTTCGGCTCAGGTC